TCATTTGGTGTTTTGATGATGATGATGGTGGTGGAGCGCAGAGTCCAGTAGATGTTCAGTTGGGTTGAGATCTGGTGAATATGAATTATCATCAAACCATTCACTGACCTCTTGGGCCATAATGATTGGGGTGTTGTTATTCTGTAAGAGACCACTCCCATCAGGATAGAGATGTTTCATCATAGAATACGTGATCACTCAGCTGTGTATTGGTTTGCAGTGGCCTGTCACCCAAACCATGCCAACAAAATGCCCCCTACAGTGTAAGAGATCCCCTCACTGTAGGGGACAATAGTTCAGGGTTTTCCATTAATTTGTCGCCTGTCTGTATATGGGAGATTGAAGTTGACTTCAGGTCAACAAATGAAGGCTAATAATGGGGGGAACATTGATGATATGAAAAGGAAATGACTTTGTAGGTTCTCAACGTACCAGTTAAATCACTTCATGAAGATGTCAGAGCTTCCCACAAATAACCAGTTCTCTAGACTTAATGCTTGGTGCACTAGTCTGCTTGGCAGAATTCATAGCACCAGTCAAGTGTCCAAATACAGAAGCCAGTTTATAGTTTTTGCACATAGGTATGTGTTAGAGACCAAGAAAATATGAGAAAAGACCTTCCCCTCATTTCTTTTCTTTCTCTGTTGATTATAAAGTCTCTTAGCAAGTTTTCAGGTTGGCTCCATGTTGCTCCGTGTTGTGATGGAACAGAATAAGCTCCGCCCCCATAGGCTCCTTCCACCACAGCACACTCAGTGTACATACTGCAGCTGCCCTTACGTAGTACATACTTGTTTGTGTAGTATGCATACATTTTGGTGTGCTCAGCAGCTCAAGCTTGTTTATAGTTGTTGGAGAGTCCACATATTTGTGAGGTATCTGCACACTGGATTGTGGATCAGCATGCTGGTTTGCACTCTGCAAAAAACAACCTCATGTGGGAGGGCGGCCTGGGATTTCTGGTATACCAGATTTGATGCACTATGTAAGATAATTCTTAGGGGAAATTCGGGTATTTTTATTGGGACATACGGTATGTATTGGGACATACTAAAAGTTTTTCTAGGATACCTTATGACGTTAGTATAAACATTGGAACCACCCCTTAGTCGATGCAGAGATAGGTGTGCTTGTGGCCTTCTTCCTGAAAGGGGCATCGAAAGCAGCAGCTCATTTGAATTTACAGCTACAGACACTGAAATAGCCCATTTTGAACAGGGCTAGTACTGCGAGGGACATAGACATAGCAGAAATAATTATCTGTGCAGTATTTTATGCATCCATTATCTATACACCGCTTAATCCTCACTAGGATCGTGGGGGGCTGGAGTCTATCCCAGCCGACTTTGGGTGAAGGCAGGAGACTCCCTGGACAGGTCACCAGTCTATCACAGGGCTACACTTAGAGACAGACAACCAAGCACACTCACATTCACACCTACGGACAATTTAGAATCACCAATTAACCTCAACATGTTTTTGGACCTTGTGTGAGGAAGCCGGAGAACCTGGAGAGAACCCACGCTGCACGGGGAGAACATGCAAACTCCACACAGAAAGATCCCATCACTGGGACGTGAACCGGTGACCTTCTTGCTGCGAGGCAACAATGCTAACCACTGCTCCTGTATTTTAGGCTGAAAGAGGGTATAAAGCGGGAGTAGTGTTACATCTACTTATCATACAATGGTTAAAACTGTATTTGTACTTCATATTTTATCTCTCTCTCTAAGATGCAAGATAAAGATCATTGATCAGGTTATGTCTGGGCAACGTATTTATTTCTTATAAGTAGTTCCCTCTGCTTGTGTTTGCAAACTTTAAAAAAATCTAATTTTTGTATAAGTTTGGAAGCTTCTGTTTATTGTTGAACTCTCTTTCTCAAGGTAGCCACAGTGTGTGTGTCCCTGCATCAGTTTGCTCTGTTTGTTTGACTCTGCATGTGAGTGTGTCAACACCGTGTTCATCTGCGATCACGCTGCTGGATTTGAAAACATCACGCATTTTCCTTCTTTCTGTCACAGATACAACTTCTTCATCGTCTTGTACCCTCTGGGAGTCGTTGGAGAGCTGTTCACCATTTATGCTGCTCTACCATTCGTACGCAGATCTGGAATGTACTCCATGAGGCTCCCCAACAAGTATAACGTGTCGTTTGACTACTACTACTGCCTCATCATCGTCATGCTGTCCTACATCCCACGTGAGTCCTGCACTTTATATTAACTGCATGTAGAGCAGAATCTGAAAGGGTATCTTTTCACTAAATGACATCTCAGAAGCAACTTGAGTCCTGCACTTCGGAGACGGAAAAGGATGGACTCCCATACTGTACAAATCTCATTTCCTCCTCTTGTAATTGCCATGTTGTCTGCACTGTTAAAACAGGGAAGTGCTGATCAATTCTGTGTTCTGTGCTATAAAGAGGGAGTGGATCAATTCTTCTCTCATAGTGAATGTAATTTTCTATTTTGTGGACTGTATGCTGATGAAATGATAAAACTATGTAGTTTAGAGATTTGCAACATTTCCCATAATGCCCCACTGCAACCAGAGATACTAAAGGAACAAATATCTTTGTATAAATGTTCTGACAAAAAGGATTCAGGCTGATTTGTAATGAAAAAAATAAGGCTAAATTCACATCTTACAATGTATTTGCCATCAGTTAAACCAAGTTAAGTATCTCTTTTGTGCCAAGACACCATTATATATATGTATACAAGGGACTGAAGTTGTCTTATTAACACATAAATACAGCAGCCATGCAGTGAATATTACTCCTGTGACACTGATCATGTCTGGTTGTGAGCTGTTGGATTATAAAAACACATATGATAGCTTGTATATTTAAAAAAAACAAGGTTTGAAAGACAAAGTAAAAGCAGGACGCCCAGAAAAGCAAGAAAATCAGGTTGTGAAGCCAAACAAAGCAAGCAGACATTAAAATAAAGTTAAAACAAGTTACATGAAATACACGATGCAGAATATCAATATTGGTAAATAGCAATGGAACCTGTATAAGCAATAAAAGCTTTAAAAGCAATACAAAGATAACACCACATGAAAGCAGTGATTTAAAATAAGTTTCTAATTCTGCGAGCTTCGTCTCCAGTCAGGAGTCACTTTTGTACTATAATTAACAGACTGAATGTTCAGCTTCGGGTCCTGCTGTGCTGTTTCTCATTAAGAATTTTTTCCCTAGTTTCTAGTTTTAGTTCACAGTTTGAATTTAGTTTCAGTTGTGAAGTTAAATTTCACTCTAATTGGTTCTAGTAAGCTGAACCATGACCAGACCCCAGAGATCATTACGGTCCTAATCGGCCTTTAGTGCGTGCAGTCAGCTCCTTCTGCCCCAGATGCGTGATAAAAACTGCATTTATTGATAATTGCGTGTCCTCCTGGCAGTGTTTCCTCAGCTCTACTTCCACATGCTGCGGCAGAGGAGAAGGGTGCTTCACGGCGAGGTCATAGTGGAGAAGGACGACTAGACAAGCGCCACCTCATGCCTTCGTTTTGAGCCAGCCCGCCTCCACGTCGCCCGCCCCTCCGCCACCGCCTCACCTCCATCTCACCTTTAGCACCGCCGGCCGTTACATTCTTCATCGCACGGGACCTGAAGAGCCGCACAGCTGACGAGAGCAGCGATGGTCAGAAACGACAAACGCCCCCCCCACCACCTCAACAGGAGTTCTGACTGAGCAACAACAACTGATCTGGAGTATTTTCTTTCCTATCTGAATGGCCATATTGGAAACATGTTTACAGTCAGAGCCTGAGACAGAAGCCTGGCGTCGTGTCTCAGCACTGAGAGTCCTTTATTCACCCAGCCAGCCAGCCTTACTGCATCTTGTTGCACTGAAGCATCGCCGCCTGACAGAAACGAGCACTGAGCCACGATACTGCACCCTGAAGTAGAAAGAGGCAAATGTGAAATAGAAGGAAGATTGTAAGTCTCCTGATTCGTCCCCCACTCCATCCTCCAGCCCATCAAATTGGCTTTTTTTTTTTTTTTTGCTTTTATTTTAAAGTGTATTCCATATCAGATTTTCTATTTAAAATAGTGTGGCTGTACAATACCAAGGTTCTAAAAGAGAGATTATTCATAGTTCTATCATACCTCAACAATAAATCTACATTTAGACAATATGCTGCTTCTTTTGTGTATGTTTGTTTTACCTTATGTGTAAATGATGCAAATGTGAAATGAGCGGTTAAATAATTAAGCATATTTCTTAATTTATTCACACTTAGAGCAAAGCACAGCTCAAACTTAACAATTTGTCTGCTTGGCTCAGCTCCTGCATTCTTTTATGTTGTTTTGATGTTTACTATGTCAAATTCATTTACAAGAGTGCATCTTAAACTAAAAGTAGTAGCTTTTTTTTTTTCCTGTAGGCCGCTATAGCTAAGACTACAATTCAAATTTATGTGAGCACTCGCAGTCTTCAGTCTCTGTTTTGTTTGTTTTTTAAAGAATCAGGTGTCCGTATTGATAGACAAGGTAGCTAGACTCCCTCCTACTAAAGGTGCTATTGTAAGATCATTTCAATCTTCTGTGCAGCTGAAGGAGTGACTGTGATGGAGTTGACCTAAAGCAGGAAAACAGGATGTGAAATGACTGGAAGGACATGTTAGTTAATGAACTGCATAGCCCATGGTTATCTTAAGAAAACCAACTTTTTTTTTTGCTTATAATCTGGGTTAGAGAGGAGAAAACAATAAAAGTCACTGTCAAATTCAAGAGGAAAGTTATTTTTCAAGGGGGAGACAAAAAAAACAAAAAACTATAGAAATGTGAAAATACCTTTTTTGTGCAAAATCAATAAACTAAATTCTACAATACCGAGGAGACTTTTGTGATGCACTTCACACTGGATGTGTTTGTCTGCATGTAAACGTAGAAATCAGCCAACAAATACAAACACTCCGTGGGTTTTACATTTTTTATTTGTGAGTTTATCCTTCATTTATTTGTAGCGGTTTTTTTCTTTTCTTTAAAACAGGAAAATACCTGAGTGCAGAAAAATGGCACATTTTGTATTCGTAGGAAGGATCCACAGATTCTCATTCATGTATGTAATAGTGAGAAAACAATCATACTTAAACCGTGAACTCGTTAACCGAAACGCGAGTTGATTGTGACAAGTTGTGTGTAAATACTTAATTTATTCCTATTTGCGTAAATGAAGATGTTATATAGACATTCATGAGGTTAGATAACAGTTTCCTTGCAGATAGCATATCAGCGACTTTATGTTTTTGCGCATCATTTTGCACCTTTTATTTTCTTTGTAAAGACATATACAAAAAGCGTTACGGTAAGTCCATTTGGCTTCATAGAATTTATATTTTCCTACCAAACTTGCATAATGAAATATACATTCAGATATTCAGTTGTACATGGAGTACAGTTTTATAAGATGTATTTTTTAAAAAACCCATAAAAAATATTTATATTTATATAAATCAGTTGGTGATTTGGTAATTTAAAAAAAATAAAAAATAGAAAAAACAAAAAACAGATTCTCCTCCTTCTTTGGTTGCCCTGCTGTATTGCACTTGCTGGTGATGTTGGACTGGCTTCACTTTGGAGGAGGAAGGCACCTCATCAGCATTAAAGAGGCGTTTTGCTGCTGCAGCTCTGAGCTCATTTTTTAAAATTGTCCCTTTGCTCTCTCCGTCCGGACTGTCCATGTGCTGCGTCAGTGGACCGGTGCCACATGGGGGAAGTCTAGCTGCTCACTGTGCGCTCGCTTTCAACACGTCGCTACGGTCCAGGCGAACTTGCTGCAGATAAAGAGACAGAAAGACATTAAGATACCTTTGAGGAAAGTACACGTATTGTGATTATTCCGTCTCAAGTCATCCGACCATCTCTGATTTGCTTGAAACTTTTTATTTTTTTATCATAAACTATGAATATTCGAAGTGGTATTTCTGACAGTATCTAAATATCTATATATCAAATACTTTCTGAGATAAAATGTTTTTTGTTTTTTTTTAAAGAAAAACTGCCCGTTGACCACCTTTTGGCGCATTTGTTCATGCATTGAGGCTGTTTGAACAACAATATCTCATAGATAAAAGCCAGGTGTTTTCACCGTTAGGTCTCATCATGTCATTGATTCAGAATCTGACAAGTAGCTCAAGTACTTTTTGATCATTGAGGAGTTAAAATATTACAAAGTAAAGTGCCATAAAAATTCCCATCTTTGAGAACACATTACCAAAAACATGCTAATGCAGAAGTCGACTGGGGATGTTTTCTGAACCATGCGTAGCTGCACGTCACAATAATACAAAACAATTTGGAGTGAACGTTGGCCTTCAAGACCAAAAGCTGGACTGGAAAGTGAAAGTATGAGTTTATGTATATTTATAGTAACTGCTGAAGAATTTACCTTCAAACTCATTGAAGATAATAAACAAGGTAACAGTTCACTTTGTTTTCCAGTTTACAAAGTATGTCTGGAAATGAAAAATATGGTCAATTACAAAAAATATTCTTAGTTATATTTGGAGAACTATTTTGGAAACTCAGTTCTGCTTGGATGGAGCTATCCAACAATATTTTAGTTTTTCTGGTGCAACTTGTCATGTCTGCTCAATCAGTTATGAAAGCTTAATGAAAATAACTCCCCCATTTTTGTGATCAAGCATTTTACATTAAAAGATACTCTAAGTGTTTTGATTTGTATTATTTTGACTACATATGGGTCAGAAAGTATCACTTCTGCAGTATTGCAAATGTTAAAAAAAATTTCACCTTACCCATAATCAGAGACTATTTGAACTACTTGTCAAATATTGCAGATTCAGAATCAATGACAAGATGAGGAATAACAGTGACAATTTCAGGCGTTTAACTTTAATAGTTCCTGAGATGATGTTGTTCAAACACAGCCTCAAATGACTGACAAGATGTTAGTCAAAATGTGCTGAAAGAGGATCGACGGGCAGCTTTTTTTTAAGTGTCTAGGAGAGTTTTTTTTATATTAATCTTAAAATGTAGCTGTTTCTTTATGAATATTGATATTTTATGATTTTAAAAAACCTGGCAAATCAAAGACAGCTGAGCAAACACTTGATGAGTTGACCCTGTAAAGCAGGGGTGCCTAATCCTGGTCCTCGTGAGCCCCTATCCAGCATGTTTTAGATGTGTCCCTCTTCCAACACACCTGATTCACATGATCAGGATCGTTATCAGGCTTCTGCAGAGCTTGATGATGAGCTGATCATTTGAATCAGGTGTGCTGGCAGAGGGAAAACATCTAAAACATGCTGGATAGGGGCTCTCGAGGACCAGGATTGGGCACCCCAGCTGTAAAGTGACCGTTGAGCAGACGGGATCAGACACAGAAAGATCTACGTACAGGTGTCCATTTCCTTCTCACAGATGTAGCTTATGAGATCTTCACAGAAGAAATCGTTCCACAACCCTTCGTGGATGAGACCCGCGCAGTCTTCTCCCGTTCCGTGCCCGTGGCCCCAGTTGTCTGGTTGACCGGGTTTCCACTTTCTGCAGGCAGACAACAGGGGGCGATCACACATTAGATTTACAGAGTTTCATCTCAAGAGTTTGGCGGAACACAGAGTAAACATGGACGACTCCTTTATCTGTAATGGTTTAATCTGAAAGCAGATCTATGAGTTTAGTTCTTGCTTCATTTAATGCTGGTCTCATTGTCATTTATCTGCAGTTTTGTAAGGTTTAATATTTGTCAGAATGTTTTCAAAGTTTACAAAAGAGACTGAACTTGTGTAAACACGGGATTGAATGAATTTGAAAGTATTTGTTTTGTTTGAATGGGCAGCAGGAACTGAACAGTGGAGTCAGTGCAATCAGAAACTATTGGCAAGTTGAGATTTTCACTGGAATTTGGATGTTTATTTGATGTTGTTTCATGTAACTGAAAACCTCAAGCTTCATCTGTAGATGGCATTACTATTATTATTATCGGGAAACAGCATTCCTCTGAAACTAAATATCCATCCCAGGCACAGAAAATGTAGTCAATAATAAAAGGTATTTTCTGATTTGATACTGACGTGAAAGCAGGTTCAGTTCCATCGAGCCAGCGCCACACATTCTCCTCCAGCCGATCGGTCAGTCCCATCCAGAAGTAACCTTTTCCAAACGTCTGCTTCTTCAGCCATTTCTGAGGTCACATGAGGACAGAAGATACACTCGGTCAGAACTCGAGACAAACTGCAGAGCAACTTCAGAGTACTGGATTTGAGATTCACCTGCTCCTCCATGTCATTGATGATCAGTAACGAAGCAGACTGTGATTCACAGGTCGCCTTTGCATCATCAAAACTGTGCAGGTCTTTGGAGAAGAAGTAGCACTTGTCTCTGTAGTTTAGCCACTCGGCTGGACATCCTGCAACACATCCAGTGGTTTCATATCATGAGTCAGATGGCTCCATGTTATTATCATTGGTGCAACATTATCAGTTTGTTGTCCTACCAAAGCTGCAGCCAAAAAAACACTTAGCTTAGCATGAAGGCACAAGATGGTCTAGCAAACGACACAATGTCCCAGTAAAAACACATCTTGCCATTTTTCACCACTAAACTAACACCATCTAACTCTCTGATATTAATTAGCAGCTTTAGAGAGGCTGGTTGTTGGATTTGTTAACTTTGGACACAGCCAGACGTTCTGTTTTTATGCCAAACAAAACTGATGAGCTGCAAGTGAGCTTCGTATTTAGAGACGTGACGGTGATATCGGCAAGAAGTGAAACATTTAATTTCGTGCTGAGCGCTGCGGTGTTTGGTGTTTAAATGTTTTTGTGGATATATTCATACCTGGGGCCCACAGTGTAGGAGCTACCGCCTCATCCTGCAGAGACACTGGTCCGTAAGGAATCACTGGACCCCGGATTGGGAGTCCTGGTTGTCCTGGTGGTCCTACTGGCCCTGGAGGCCCGACTGGTCCTGGCAGCCCCCTTGGTCCTTGCTCTCCAGCTGGCCCAATTGGGCCACGGATACCTGGTGGGCCCTGTGCCCCCTGAGGACCAGGCTGTCCATCCCTTCCAGGCAGACCAGAAGTACCTGGCTCTCCTTTAGTTCCAGGAGGTCCAGCCCTGCCTCCTGACCCTCGGGAGCCCTTGGACCCAGGGCTGCCGGGGACACCCGGGAGGCCCTTTAACCCTGGAAGCCCCGGGGGTCCTGGACTACCCTGCTCTCCTCTAGGTCCTCGGATCCCTGGAGCTCCCTTTTCTCCTTTCTCTCCCTTTTGGCCCGTCTGACCAAGTGGTCCCTGAGGTCCTTTGTCCCCTCTTGGACCCCTGGGACCAGGTGGACCTAATACAGGAAACATACTGTAAGCTTGTGACAACAACTTTTAAAACATTTAACTCTCTGAACCCCAAAACCCACAAGAGGGTTCAAAAGGCATGTAAAATGTTGGTCTTTGAACTTCTCATCTGTGACATGCACTTCTGTCAAAAAAAAAAACAAAAAAACAAATATATATATATATTAGAGATGCGCCGATCCGATACTGGGTATCGGTATCGGGCCGATACTGGACGAAATTCCGGTATCGGATGATTTACTTCACAGTGGTAACTGGCCGATCCGATACCGCCACACACACACAATCCTGCCTTCCGACACATCCACGTGTTCGTCTGCTCATTGGCTACAAGTGTATAGCGTCAGAGAGTGTCTGCAACCCCACTGGTCGAATCTACAAGGGTGGGACTTGTGCGGACCGATTGACTGTCTGAGACACTCCATTGGTTCTTCAGGCTGTCACTCACCCCCAAAGCCCTCCTATTGGCCAAACTAGGTGTCAATCAAAAGCTGAGACGTCCGTCTCGCTGCCTGTAGCGCTTTCAGCGCGATCTGAAACATATTCAGGCTGATTGTACCAGAAGAAATGAATCAAACAGCCGGAGCTGATCTGAAGCTGGGAAGACATTACTGCAGAGTTTGTGCCTTTGAGGATCTAATATGTTTTACGGACTGAATTATTTTACTGGATTATGCTTGCTGGTTGTGTCCGGACAGAATGAGACCAAGCTGGTGAGGAATGAGCGATGTTTGAGCTGCAGAGAGCCTTCAAAAGTAAGAAAACTCAGATTTTAACATTTTGCTTTTCTGTACAAAAAGCTCTTTGTGTCAACGCTGTGGTTGCTGCAGGTCAAAAAGGTTTATATCATCGGAAAGAGGAGACTCTGAGCTTTCATTTGATGTGTATGTTGTCGGGAAACGTGATTGTGGAGCATGCCCACATCTGGCTGTAATGTGTTTGGAAAGTGGTCACGTCCCGCCGGCGGGACATGGGAGCGGTAATGGGTTTAAAATACTCTTCTTAAATATTTTTTTTAAAAATTGGAAGTATATTTTGAGTGAAATCACCCTTTAAAACTACATCGCGCACCCGAACTAGAAGCCGTGCACTTATAGGGCCGTAGCAGACGAGTCCAGCCTCTACCAGCAGCCTGTACGTGGGTCTCCGGCTCTGCAGACAGACTCTTCCTATTGGATCTCATCCCGCAGCAGGTCACAACGTTTCCGGCCTCATTTACTACTGCTCATGCGCAGAGCCGAGAGCGGCTATTAGTGGTACTATTATTTAATACCAAGTTTTGGTAATTTAACCTTTAAATTGCAGCTTAATGTTGCTGTGTCATTTTGATCTGTTCTAAATATGTGAATGGCACTGAGTGCACACTGTAGTCTGATTGCAGCTCAAATAAAGCAGCTACAGCTTCACTTTGAGACATGCTTTTAGCTGTTGTTTCCTTTCTTAGAAAAGCAAAGTCTATGCTTTAATTGTATGAGGCTTTGGATAAAGCCATCTCAAACAAATGTATCCATGCAAATAAAGTATTTCCAAAGAAGTTTAGGAGGACAGATGGTATCGGTATCGGCAGATACTCAAAGTTGAAATATCGGTATCGGTATCAGAAATCAAAAAGAGGTATCAGCCCATCCCTAATATATATATATATATATATGCAAGCAGAAGCAATTCATTATTCAGCTGCAACTAACATTCACATGACAAAAATGAGCTGAACTGGGCTGAACTGCAGGCTGTGCTTAAACAGAGCAGATAGGAGACAAGTATGGAAACAAATGAAGACATGTAGTAAAATACAGCATCCATAGTATATAGGACCACCATCTTCCCCAGTGTTGGTAGGACCTGTGGGCACTTGGAAACATGTTTTACACGTTGATGCTATGGTTGTACTGTTTACCATCATGTTGCAGGACTGCATGTTGCAGAGAAAAATGAGCCTACGGTGAGTAAAAATATGACAGAAGCAGAAAATGCCCAGAAGCTGCTTATAATTCTAAGGGTTAACAACAGTACAACGGATTGGCTTTCTGGCTGAGAGCTGATGAGAAGCCAGCAGCCAGTTAGCTTAACTTAACACAATCCTTGGAAAAACTAAAACTTTTGATTTATGCGCTTTGTTTCATCCTGCTTCCAGTGTTTGTGCGATGCTAAGCTAACTGTCTACTGACTAGGCCTTCATACCAAGAGCACAGAAAAGAGATTGGTAACAGTTTTCTCATTTAACTCTTGGCAAGAACATTAAACTGTTCCTTAACCTCAGTGCAACACATTGCGCAGCTATAAATCTCTCACCCTGTAAAATAGTGAAGTTGGTTATTAGCTGTGAGTGCTTGGTGTCCACCAGCTTCATCTCCTCCATGACGATGAAGAGGCTGGTGACCTCCTTGTCCAGTCGAGCCGCCAGCTCCTCCTGCTGAGACCTCAGACTGGCTGCATCTGTCGTCATGTCCGTCACGCTGTTGTTGAGGTGTAGCAGGAAGTCTGAGTGACGGCCGACGGTCTCGGAGCAAGTGCGCAAGCCGTTCAGGTTGATGTTGATTGCGCCCAACAGCTGCGTGGTGAAGCTGATGTTGCCGGTCACTCGATCCATGCTCTGCTCCAACTCGTCCAGCCGCATCTCCAGCCGGTCGAACTTTGTGGACGTGAAGTTGCCGAAGTCCCTCTGCTGGTCCATGATCTCCCTCAGAGTCTGGTCATGAGCGTCAGTCAGGCTGCTGGTGTTCTGGAGCTGGTTGGCCATAAAAGTGAGCTGCGCTCCCACATCCTCCAGGCTGTCGTTGTTGGCTTTAGCTAGAGCCGAGGTATTGCTGGCCATGATCTGCAGGTTTTCAACTTTACTACGAAGCCACTCTGTATCAGAGCGTGTCTGTCGGGCCGTCTGCTCCAGGCCCTGAAAGTCGTTGCGGATTTTCTGTATAGCCTGGCTGGTGTCGTCCACTGAGCGCTGCAGGGCGGCGATGAGGCCTCTCTGCTGGGCCTGAGTGAGGTTCAGGCTGCTGATACTGAGCAGCGCCTGGTTTTGGAGTTTAACCTGCTGCTGGAGTTCTCTCTGCAGTCTGGCTGTGTCATCCTGCAGACCCTCCACGATGCTGCCGTATGACTGCAGGGTGCCATTTACAAAGCGCAAGGTGGCTGTGTTGCTGCTCAGAAGTCCCTGAATGGAACCCTGGCTGCTCTGGATGTCTGAGCCGATGTTTTGCAGCTGATTCAGCTTAACTTGATCGCTGTGGATGCGTTCTTCCACCGCAGACAGCTGCCTCTGCAGAGACCAGATGTTGTTCTTAAAAGCTTGGATCTCTGTGGTGGTATTCTCCGACTTTTCCCCCGTTTGATCATCTGTAGATGTGGATTCATACAATAAATTACAAATATGTTTCAACATCTTACTGTAGCTTTTGCTCTCTTGTGAACCCAGATACGTACCGAGCTTTTTCAAATCAGTCTCGACAGCATTAATCTTTCCTCCATAGTTTGCGATACCTTCAGACACACTGTCGACTCTTTGCACCACTGAAAACAGGCCAGACAGGACAAAGGTTAGTGTCATAGGCTCATCACAGGCGCTTTATTAACAGTACAAATAGGGATGACAGAACCGCCTGCAACCACAGACATGATGTATAAAGGGGATCACAGAGGGAACCAATGAAATGCACAGACAGATACTATAAAGGATGCGTCTACATGTCTTGTAGGCATGTAATAACGGTGGACTTGATTAATGTAATCTCTTGGGTTAGGCCAGGTTTAGCCTGTGACAGAGGTAAAGAGATGTAGGAAAAAAAGAGGGATTTGGAGTTGTAGTGCCATAACGTTTAGGTGAGAGACAGAAAAAGGCACCAAGAAAGTTGGAGGAAGAAGCGCTGATTCAGCAATGATAGTGCGGGTGGTCAATGACAGAGACTGAGGGTTGAGGTGCAGGGGAGGACACTGGTGAGGCCCTCGGGGACAGGAAGTGATCTTGGGGAGGGGGGGGGGTCTTCGGAAAACAGGCGGATCAAAGGCGACCCAGCAGAGACAGACAGTGTGGCAGGGAGGCTCTTCACGCCCCCACAGGCGACACCAGCGTTCATTTCCTCTGGAATGTGTCTGGGATTCCAGGGAAGCAGCCCACTTCTACCACCAGCCTCGCCAGGGGGACGCGTCCTGTAACTGGGCTCCTCTGCTGGGAAGCTGCATCCCGACTGTTTACTCCAGCAGTTAAGACAACAGTTAAATCCAAACGTTTTCACTGCTCCCCCAGAAAGACCAGAGGAGCTGTTGTAAATCCATCCATTCCTCCAAATGAGGACACGGGTAAAGCATTTTATTTGTGGTCCCAAGAGCACTAACGTTGGCCTGAAATACATCTTTGTTTAGTTTTTGTTCTTGCTGCAAGTCAGATGAAGTCAGCTCTTTGGGCATCATATGAAGCCAGCAGCCGATTAGCTTAGCTTAGCATAGGAAGGAAGTCCCAGCCACTAATTTGACACATTATGGTCTGTAAAACTGCAAATTGTCACTTTCAAGCTTTGATTTTACACATTAAACATGCAACATGGTAATTAGTGGTAATTCTTTATGCTAAGCTAAGCTAACAATCTCCTGATTGTCCTATTACTTTAAGAGGCCTGACATGAGAGTGGTGCCAATTTTTTAATCTGACTCTACAAAAAAAAGTAGAAAAGCCTATTTCACAAGCAGAAGAAGACAATTCTTTAGAAAGACAAGCAAAGCTGTTGTAAATCCATCCAACCCTCCCAATGAGGACACGGGTAAAGCATTTTGTTTGGGGTCCAAAGAGCACAAATGTTGACCAGAAATGCATCTTTGTTCATTTTTTTTAATTTTATTTTTTAAATTACATTTTTAAATTGAGCTAATTTTATTTATTTCAGTGAAATAGATGAAGTCAGCCCTGTAAGTATGATATTAAGCTACAGGCAACAGCCTATTAGCTTAGCATAAAGGAATTCCCATCCATTAATTTGACACATTACACCCTGTAAAACTGTCACTGTTCTTCACAGATTAAACACGCAACCTTTTATTTAGTGAGTTCAAGAAGGGGGGGGACATGCTAAGCTAAGCTAACCATCTCCTGATTGTAGCTTCATTTCGGGGGCTTGATATGAGTGTGCTATCAACGTTTTTATCTTAACTCTACAAAGAAAACAACTTTTTAGTAACTGGACGACATAAGAAAGTCTTTTGCCGTTATGGAATAATTGCCTCCTGGGTAATTGTTGCTGAGATGGTTGGTGAACTTCAAATTGGAAAATGAATATTTAATCAGTGTGGTCAAAGCTGTTTCTTGTTTCCTTTCTTTGTCCTGTTAAACATGCTAGAAACCAGCCTGAAGTTGTGTCATGGAACAAATAAACTGATCTGAAACACTTAGGAACAAAAAAATATATCCTTGGATTACCACATTATCTTTAGTGATGAAGGAAAACGGTCACTTGGATAAGAAATGTTCCCCACAAAAACTAAAAACGGGACAAATTTCCAGACACAGGATGTCCAGAACTACAGAGCACAAGAACACTTTGACTTTTGCGCCGCAGACCAACCATAATCTACACCTTTGGCTTATTGTTTCATTCACAAACACTTAAGACATACACGAACCAGGACAGTGAAACGAACACAAGCAGAAACTTCTGGGACTTCTTGGCCTTTTCCACATGTTCTGTTCATGTACCAGCCTCCAGAGAGGATCATTGCATCACACTGTGGTAAAATTAACCATAAAACACACATGCAAAGAGTTGAAATTGCAACAGAGCTGCAGAGTAAAGCATTACTCTGCCTTATAGGTCCAAACGTTGTAGAAGTGAGCTGTTTCGTACCCAGTTTGAACTCCTTCCAGATTTTCTGTGGGTGGTTCCTGAAACTGTGTGTCGACTCTATCCGGGCTGTCTTGTAAAATCAAACTTTCTTATACAACATGCGAAGCGAGTGACCTATAAACTCCATTCTTTGGTTATTTTATTATTTCTAGGAGGCATAAGCCAAGAATCTCACGGTTTAATGTACAGCTCAGTGGTTTTTGCAAAAATATGACGTGTTTTATCACCAACATCAAGTTTTATTTACTGAGTGCTGTGTTAGTCCATGTCCTCAACAAGTCAGTGCCAACTTACAGCAAGTCACTGCTCCCCTGATTGTCAGCTATTAGCAGCCATCGGGAAAATGTCATGTCAGTGGTGAAAATTTGGAAAAGTTTCCTTTTCAGATTTAGAAGGAACCAAGTCACGATGATGCAACAACAGATGCGACCACACCGCTACATTTTAGTGGGAGTTGTGGGTGGTTTTATATTGGATGCTACAACAATAATTGTTGTCCAATTTGATCAAAATATCCACAGTTTCAACTTCTAATAGCAAATGCTGTGGTGCAGATTTATTTGTCGTAGAATGTGGAAAGGAAATTTTAGAAATGTGTATGTCGTTTTTTGGAAACACCAATAAATAAATATGGGTCAAGTCACAAAAGTTAGCACAACATTAGGATGTTTTCCATTGCAGGAGTTTAGGTCAGGTGTAAGGTGGCAACAACATTTACAAAAACAGCCACATAATCAGCCTTTCTGGTTTCATTGCAGTGTAGGATCCGACAGATCCGACTGCAATTTTAACTCTTATCTCACCAAAACAACAACAACTAGCATTCACTGGACATAACTCCAGATCTATGAGCACATAGAAAAAAGAACAACAGATTGTTAATTATGTTTAAGAGGAGAAGCCTGGAACTCAAAAATAGTCGCTTGTTGTTCCTTGAAAGTTTAACCAATTAGCATCGAGACAAGCACATCAGTATAGTAGTATAACCTTCCCTGGAGTAGGTACTTTTTGTTCTCGGAAAACGAACTTTAAAAAGAGGTTCAGGCCACCCTAAAGCGAAGTGAAGCAAGATTCTTCGGTGGATAACGGCCTAGTAGATGGCATGGAGATGACATCAGGCCTTCAGCTGTTGAATACAGTGAGCTTCCATCAATCAAACAAGAAAGCAGGAACTTTTGCCCATAAGATACCACGTGCTTACATCTTGGCTTACGGTACATTCTCGCACAACTCTATTAGTCTGACTCACTAGATGTACACTGTGGGTATAAGCCTGCCATTGGCTGCCCTTTTTACATCCTTCCCCTTCTCCTATCTGTATGCTACCATTTAAAAAAAAACAAAAAACATCACTACACAGATCAAGAACAACCATGACATTGAGATGCAGCCAGACTAATCTGCGCTGCAAGGCTAGGTGCTCATAATTCTAAATAATAAACAGACTGTGCTCCCTAGTGCTCAATGCAGGGAAATGCAATTATGTATGGAAGTGTGGAAACTTCAGAGCAGCCATGACAGATCTTTTTTTTTTTAACCATCTAGTTATATAGCATATGTGTATTGAGCAACACCACAACAAAAACAGGACCAATGATGCATGGACATGAGAAATCAGTGTGGAGGTTGGTGTGCCAGGAGTACAGCCAAAGTGTATAAACCACCATGTCTGCACTCACATCCACCCCGTATTAAACTAGCCAAACTAGTTTCCTTTTACTTGTACATTTACACAATTTTACCGTCAACATAGTTTGGCAAATGAATAGCCTGTTAGCTCATTTGTTTTTCCAACTTTGAGGCACACAGTGCACCAAACCCTGCCCACAAAAGTTCAAATTTAACAACGTACTCAAGTATTCAAGACTGGAAAAAAAAAACAGAAGGAGATTCGCAAATACATTGGAGATCGTGGAGGTTCCCGTAGGAATGAATGAACTTTGGGCTGATTTGCATACGTAAACAAAGCTACATGAAAATGAGGCCTTGCTTCTGTACTAAAATCACTCAGCTGTTTTGCAGCATTAGCCACCACATGCTACTGCCAGATGAAGTATTAGCAGCAGCAGAACCCCTGATGCATTGAATTGAGCAACAGCCCTTGTGAATTCAAGGAATGAAGACAATACTGTTTCTTATTTCCTAAGTTACATCGCGTCACTTTGGCAGCAACTGTTTTACTGAGACTGTACTGAAACACTTCAATTTGATAATTGTGTTTTACTGCTTTAGTGTTTTGAAAAAAAAGGACATTCAGACACAGAGGTTAGGCCTTCTGGTCCATTTTCTTATTGTCTTTGAGGACAACTAATGGGACTTAAATCCTCCGAGCCCCGAGAATGACCTCACACTGCTTTTGGTTGTGTCAATCACGATAAAAAGCAGCAGGAGAGAAGACAGAGGTCACTGAATCCCAGCTATACTTCTGAGGTCGAGCTGCATCAAAACAAAGGAGCCACACTGAGGACGTTTCTGTGGGTCAGCGATGGAGGACAGAGAGAAGCACACATGTTAAGTGCATAGAGCACTCCGGGTCTCACTACATAACCATCTGGAGCTGGGAGTGTGTTTAGGCTGAGCTGTGGTTCCCTTGACGGAGCAGCGCTTCGGTGCCAGTAAAAACCCAATTTCAGTGGGTTCTGCTGGAGTTGCACTGAGTTCACTTCGCTGCTCATCTGGGATCAATTAGGCCCGCATGAAAACACGCAGCGTGGAACAAGAAGGGCCGACCGAGCTCAGAGCGTACGGGGACATCGTTGTTCATGCGCTCGAGACACACAGATAACCTCTGAACATGGTAACTTCACGCCATTTTCACCAATTGAAAGTAAGGACGGGACATAACGCAGGCACATGTGGGAATGTTTAACACAATTATGGCAGGAACATTCAGAGTTCAATCCTGCGAAAGGCGGCGGGACCGTTTCCCCAACTGGAAAAAATGCACACAAAAAAAAAAAAAGCCAACCAGGAAGTTCAGCTCCACAAAGCCTGAAGAACTTCTCTGGAGGTGTGAGCTTTGGGGGTGTTGGTAAAATAAACTGAGAGGTGGTTGTGGGGTGGAGACAGTGGGAACAAGAGATTTAAAGGGTCTGTTCACCTAAATTACAACGAAACATACCATGTATTCTCACTAAATTGTGATCGTGCAGAGATTTGTCTCTAGATTTGTGGTTTTCATGGCAAATAAAAGCACATTTAACGACCTTGATGGCAGTTTATGTGAATAATTTCACTTATTTAGTTCTACCGAAGATACAGCCCTTAAAAATATCCACGAGGAGCTAATTCGAAAGGAAGAAGAGCCTTTTGTGGGATGTGCTGTACATTTTTTATGCTCTGTGCACTACAAACAACAGACTCATACAGAGACTTGCATTGCAGGAATAATACACTTCAGTGTCTTGCAGAGAGTTGAGGAAAGATGAGAACATTAATAATGTCTTGTGATATATATGTGGTGGGTATAGCCAGCAGCTAGTTAGCATAGCTTAGCACAAAGCCTGGGGAAACAGCCTTTATTTAAAAGTAAGACAATCCACAGTGTGTATATGAAACTTTTTTGTTTCATATGCACATATAGTTTTGTGCTGGACTATTTCTCGCTGGGTGCAGCAATTTAACGGCGTCTAATCAACAAGAGCAAGCAACCAGTGTAGAATAAAGTGACATAATATAACACGATGGAGCTCAAATATTACCTTTCAACTGTTTTGTTAATTTAAAACAGAGTGTAAGCAATAAGTGTTAGAAACAGAACAGTGTGTTCAGCTCAGTTTACGACTGAACTCAGATTTGAGCAGAAACCACTTTTCTTTTTTGTGTTATTTCCCTCCAGTCAATCCCCTTTTCTTCATTTCATGGAGAAAATTCATAAATTCAAATTCATTGCTCAAAACATTTTCATCTTAAAGCCTCGGTTCGCCAGATTTTTTCATGTCTAATCCCGTCTGAACACTCAGTTAGAGGTACCGTTAGTCTTTATGCCGGGCAAAACTTCTCAATTAAGCACAGTTTGCTCTTGTAATTTAGGCGAACTGACCCTTTATGTGTATCTACGAAACTGCAGATTAGGTGTGGCAGACCTGTTGTAATGTTTTCCATTACTGGTTTATTGGATTTAAATAATGAGAATGTCATACTTGGGCACGCTGGAGGCCACCCGAGGGACGAAGAGCTCGTGTTTTACACAAACACAGGAGGTCTCAGTGTACTGATACACTCATTGTGCAGCAATTCTCTTGGCAGTACAATCAGAAACCTAATGATACGTTTGGATGCCGGCTCTTTCGGCACAGTGTGAGTGAATCATTTCAGGAAACGAAGTGCATCACTGTGGAAGTGTTTGACGTCTTCTAATTGTCACAGTCACAGAAGTGTGTAACGTGGGGAAAGCAACCTCGTCTTACCTTTGTATCCAAGTACAGCAACAGCGATGGTGAGGAGAGTACACAGCACATAGAGCAGAGCTATGGAGGTCTTCAGCGCCCACTCATTCTTACACTTGGTGCACTGGGTGCCCTCCTGGATGCCTGCGTGAAAACAATGAAGAATACCGCATGATTTGACGCATTTTGTTGCCTATTGTGCATTTTTCTGGAGTAGAAAATGTCTAAAATGGACATGTGGGTAGAGTTTGGTGTTAGTTAGAGACTCTGTGAGTCCAGGAGTCCCACATCTGGACAAACAGCCTTGGAGTCGACATTAAAAGGAGCCCAGCGGTTCCCCGAGGGCCCGGGTGGTGAAGGGGCAGGGGACACAAAAACAATCCCCCCCACTGACTTGTTTACCCTCAGCGACATGCTTATTTTCCTGAACTCAGTCTTCGCTCAGCCAACTGTCTCTTTTTCGGTCGCAGTGAACTGAGAGTAAATCAGAATTAGTGTACTTTCGTCTTTCAGCTAGCATCCTGCAGTGCCAGGACTGTGGAGTCGAACCGAAGGCCCTCAGCTCGCGAGGACACTTGTGGAATATTTCTTTCTGAGGATATTTTTCATGACAGATGAGTGGCGAGATCCACAGTGCTGACGGGAACACAGCTGTGTTTCATTTCCATTTCAGGAAGTGTGTGTCTGTGTGTGTGGAGGAAAGGTTTTGAGTGAAGTGTGTGTGTGTGTACTGTTGAGATTTTCTTTTACACACATGAAATTTTGAAAATACAATCTGTAAAGGTTTGAATATGTTCAGTGAGGATGCAGCGTGAGATGGGAGGGGATTGAGTGACAGTAGTTTTCAATGAAACCTTTTTCTTTTTTTAGACTTCTTGTTGTTGTTTATTCTGCAACAACCAACCTGTTTATTCATTTCTCAGTTTGGACATCTGCAATTCCTTCCTCAGCTCCATGTGGAGTTACATCGACACCATTTTAAGGTAGGAGGGGAACATTTTCATGGAAATCCTTCAGTCAACTGCAATTTTAGGTTCATTTTTTTCATTCAAGAGTGACCGACCGCAACGATGACCAGTACCTCAGGACCTATGCACCCAGACATCGCGATGCAAGTGCCACAGAGCTGCAGGCCCGTTTACCAGATGTGAGGGGTACTAGGGTTTCCAGACAAACCATTCGCAACCGACTCCACCGCTTTGGCTTGAATGCCAGACGACCGTTGCAGGTGACTCCACTGACATCAAGACACCGCCGTGAACGTTTGCAGTGGGCACAAGACCATGTGACCTGGACAATGCAGCAGTGGTCTACCGTCCTGTTCACTGATGGTCGTCAGCGTTGCTGGAGAAGGCGAGGTGAGCGATATGCCGAGGTTAACATGGTCCCCAGGGTTCGCTTTGATGGGGGAGGTGCAGCAGTCTGGGCAGGCATCACCAGCCGGCACAAAACAGATTTGGTTTTTGTAGATGGCTCAGTGACTGCACGTTCCTACCTCAGAGACATCATAGAACCCATCATCATCCCCCAATTCCGCCAGCACACCCCCAACTTTCTGTTCATGGATGACAATGCTCGACCACGTCATGCCAGAATTGTCACAACTCGACTTCAGGAAGTCGGAGTGCCTCATATGGTACGGCCAGCAATGTCCCCTGACCTGAACTCCATAGAGCAGGTCTGGGACCAGCTGAAGCAGAGACTGGATGACCGTACTCCACCCCCACGTGACCTGGCAGAACTGCGTGTAGCACTTGTGGAAGAGTGGAACGCATTGCCTCAGAACAACATCATGAGGCTCGTGAGGAGCATGAGACGTCGTTGTCAAGCTGTCATTGCAGCAAATGGTGGAAACACCCGCTACTGACATTGTCAATTTTTGTTACTTGGGGCTATCCTTGTCATTGTTTGGGGGTAATAAATATTAAACGAATGAAAATGGTGTTTCTTCTCATTCATTATTTGTAACATCAAAGGGAACTTTTACTTATTTCATTAAAATTCAGACCAAATAGGAAAAGCACTCATGTAAATAACAATATCCCTAACTTATTGTGAGTAGTGTATGTTAAATTAAACTTAACTAAATACATAAAAATCAACCTATGTACACTGGTGCTAGTGCAATATAGTGACAGCTTACTGAAGTGATCGTAGTACAACATGTTCGCAGCTTCTTGAGATGTACAGTAATGCAAATCGTTCAGCAGCTGAAGTCAGACTGCGGATTGTGACCGACGGTGTGAATGCATGAGTCTCTTTTGTGCAAAAACAGCAATATTTGCCTTACAAGACATATTCAGATTGGCAGCAGCCGTTCAGTTACCAGCAGCCTGCAGAGAAACATTTAGTGCCACAGATTTCACCACACATCTAGTTCAGATGTGTTTTACGTGCTGAGGTAATGCCTAAATGAATTAAAAATGCAGCGCCGATTGGCTCGTCAGGGTCTCGGTGGGGGTTTAGATGCCAAAGTCAACAACATGACTTGTTCTTATGGGTGCGAAGGGATTGTTAATGAACACAGACTCCAGCTGGACGGGCGACGAAGCATCCGGCCAACCTGAGAGAGTGTGACATTTACCGTAAAAAGCACGGGCAAGTCAAAAAAAAAAAGGAAAAGCATTTTTTAAATGTAATTCTTCCATGTGTTGGAGTGTTTGCCAACAGAAACGACACCACCGCTTCACTGGCCAAAGAACAAACTCACTTTACTCCATCTGCCTCAAGCTGAACTCATAAAGTTCCAGAAAGTAATAGTGAATCAAACCCGATATCTAAACTGTTTCAAGCATGAAATCTTGAGCAGAGGTGGACTTACTGGTCTGCCAGGTTCATATATGGATTTCAGCTTATTGCAGAATGTATAAGAGACAGTGTAAGGGGAAACGTATGTATAATGAATCTGTTTCAAAATCATGTTATGTGTTTATTGATTAAAAAAAAGAAGAAAAAAAAAACAGCCGATACTTCATTGTCAGATGTTTAGACTCCCAAATTCCAATATTTGATTTAGTCCACTGAGGTCATCAAATTATATTCAACTGAACAGATTAGTTCAAATTTCTGTCTTTGCATGATGTCAAAAACCCAAATCATCAAACTGAGATCTGCTTCCTCTTGTTCTCTGTAGTCATGACAGTGCAGAAGCAGAACCTGTTGCTGTTTTCTTTGAGACTGTTAAAGGTGGGGTAAGCCCTTTTTAAAAAAAATGAAAGCAATGAAACCGTTCAGGTGAATCAAACTTAAAAGCAATCTGTCAAAGTGAGGCAAACTGCAGAAACAGGCGACCCTTCAAATTACATTTTGCCATTTAATTAAATGCTATCATAAAAAAACACAGATTACAGCAGCTTTAAACTGAGCTAAAAAGAAAAGGTTTTAATGTGATGCTTGCACAGTTTTGACTCCAAAACACCATCACCTCTAAAAACAGCCCTTTTTTTTCTACTTTAAGCTTCACTAAACTAAATCTGTCTTGAACGTGTTTCCAAGAAGCCCATTAATCTCAACAAACTGCTTCAAAGCACGACATCTTTATGCAAAATGTGTGACTGATTGTGACTTCTTGCTAAAGTATTCACATCTTTAGAACATCATGTCATTATGTGGAGAAGGAATAAAGACATACGAGTCAAGAAAAAGGGAGAAAACTGTTTTCTTGTGTTGCAGAACCACACACCTGAGAGTGACCTCAGCTTTCAGAGCTCCAAAATATGCCTGATGCTCACGTCCACTCAATGTAAAGAGCCTCAGCTGCCTCCTTAAAGCGTATTAACAAGTGTTCAAGCCTGAGAACCATTTGTCTGTTTAAAGCTCAGCTCCAGTTTTGGGCGTGGGACGAGTTACTCAGCAGAAAGCGATTACCACAGCTGTGTTGTGGAGGTCAGGAGTTACCACCGGTTTAACTGTAAGCGGAGAAGTGCACTCTGGGAAAACGGCCACGACAAATGATTGCATCTCCTGAATCATTCATAACTGCAGACGTGTGTCAGCTCATGCGTGTTTCCACAACAAAACAAGCGTATCAGTTCATCACGGTAATCAAAGTGCTGCTGCTCAAAGTTGCTGCTCCAATCCAAACACGCTGACAGTATTTACAAATGTGCTGCGCTGAAATGATCCCAAAACACTTTGTAAGGGTATAAACTATCGCACAGCCAGGAGTCTGTTCCGTCTCCGTTGAGTGATGATGTTCAGATGCTGGGATAAGTGGAGGATTTTGAGCTGGCTGTCAGATATGGAGGACGACTGGCATGACACGAAACACGTGGCCGACAGCGCGGCGTTTCAGAGCGATCAGACGGATGAGCCGATTCATCCCGAGTGTCGACACACCAGCAGGCCGTCCGGCTCTATCAGGGGTCACGACCCGCCTGCTGTTCATTACCCAGCGGGTCACTTCCTGGATGAGCCGGACAAATAAGGACACAGACAGATGTTGGGCTGCTGAGAGCTGCTGCTTTTCGTCAGTCATGTGTGTTTCCTGTCTGTTTTATTGCGATCCTCATGATGTCTCTATAGACATGTGCGGTTGTTCGTTCATTCACTGTGCAGGATCAGCGTCCACTGATACAGTTTGACTGCTTTGTACTGACAGACTCAATACCAGATGCTAAATTAGAGCTGGAGATAAAAGTGTTTAATGTCCTGCAAATTATAGCCCAACTGGACTTCTGATATTGATACTTTTGAGTTTATAAAATGCCAATAATGACATAAATAATCTTGATCAAGATCTCTGAGATTACATTTTTACAGAAGAGTGAGCACTAGAGCTGCAGTTATTCACCAAGTAGTTGTCAGCTATGGAGTTAACTGGCAACTTTTGATGGATAATTAATTGATTTTAGTAATTTTATAGGAAAGAAATGGACATCCTCTAATTCCAGGTTTCCTTACCTTGTATTACAGTCAATTGAATATCTTTGGGTTGTGGACAAAAGATACCTGGGGACGTCATCTTTGACTTTGGACTAATCAACATTTTGTAACATTTACTGACATTTTATAGACCAGGGAAACAGTAAAATCATCTAAATATTAATGAACATTGTAAACTTTCATATTTGCAGCCTTAGTAACAAACATGCATACAGAGCTGAACATTTTACAGTCAACTCGTCAGTCTGAGCTCAAATCTA